CTGAGTGTGCTTATTGAAAAGCCCCACCGAGTGTGTTTATTGCAAAGCCCCACTGAGTGTGTTTATTGCAAAGCCCCACCTGAGTATGCCTATTGTGAAGAACCTGTTATCGTTAGTCAGTTGATGATGGATTGATTGGACCTCCAACCTATTGCGATAGTTGCTACAATACTCAACACGAGACGGAACGTTGTTATAAATGAGAACTTATTTCAATTTATTGAAGGAATTTAACATTTATTATTCATTATAACATGTGTGCAACATTATGTTTTTTGAGTTTTTTAAACCATTGTTTGTACTGTTAAGAACCATAATTTATCTTTATCATTATTTTTTATACACACGATTCATATTCCTGTTGACCGAGATCCTTCACATATATTCAACATCTCATTGTTGTTTTGTATACATTAATTGCATCTATATATAGACCTATATGATGCATACCTTTGTATCCTATAGCCTTTTTTTGTGGCACTACATAGCCTTACAGTGCTAGTGTACTGTAAAGTCGACAATCATCTAACCAATCCAACACAAAGAAAGCACCTGTCATTACTACATTCCATGATTTGTTCACCATTTCCCCTCAAGGGAAATACGTGAATGATAATGACATTCCAGCAAAGAAGTGACAAATCCTTTGAGTTTGTAATACTTCATAATACCCAATTATACAAGAGCTAAAGCATTATTAAAATTATGTTACATTTACATCTGTCCGCATATGCATCATTTTCCTCAAGTAAATATTTTGGCCAAACCCACATTATTGGAAAGCGAAATCAAGCATTCACTTTACCAATGGATGTGGCGTCATCAACAGTTAAAATTTGGGTTTTCATTTGAGGGTTTTTCGGAAACTTTTTGAAAGATTATCGCGGTACAATGTATGATTCTTTGCTATGTTAAAACCATTCTTTGTGGGCATGGACAAATTAGTTACCTTTGGAGTCCTGGTACCAGTCATTGAGAATCTGAATTAAGGCTTGGTTCCAGGTTATTCATTTTCGTTTTTTAAAGTAAATTCCATATTTAGGGTGAACACAAAACATTTATAAATTGTAAGGATGCACCTATGACCTTCGGGTCAAGGTCAAAGTCACAGAACGATTTAAATAGGTCACGTTTATAGAACAATCGCATCAAGTTTTGGTTATGGTTCATTCATTTGCTTTTATTTTCTTAAACTCTTGTTATGTTTTTTTTTCATTATACGTGAGTTATTATGAAGCATAGTCAGTTCATTCTACGTTACGCTTGTTCTTCCTTTGTACAAATAAACCAGTCTCACAAACCCTAACCTTCGTCGAAGTTTTTCTGGCCATACAACGACTTTATTATGTGATGGTCCTGCGTTCGGTTTCAATTATCCATGGTTTATTTTGTGTTATTAGTAGCTTGTTTTCGCTATTAGTTCTAAATCACAGAGAAGAAAGCCAATCATGTAACTTGGCATTCAGTTTCATCCAGACATCTGGTTGATCATAAGAAATATCGTACTCATAAAAATCCATCATGGCTGTCCGCATGGGCTTCTTGTAAACTAGCCATTCCATCGCCTTATGAATGAATGATATGCTACCCTGGTTCTTATTGCAAACGCTGCAAATTTATTTCCAATATGATCCCATATCAGATATCTTGACCACCTTGTCCAGCCTTTTCCTTCTTTGCACTGGAAATGGAGCTTTAATTGACAAATTGATAAATTAAGTATTCTCATGATATAAACTTGGTCTAAAAGGAAAATTGAATTGATTTGGATCTTACGTTCAATATCGACATCTAAGCGGCTATCATACACTTATTGTTGTTTTTCTGCTAAATGTATAGACATATTTACTTCTGTTTGTCCCTAGAGGGCATTCTTTTAGGAAATAGTGATTATACTAGGCAAAAATCCTCTTGTGGCTACTTTTGCTGCAGGATTGGCTCTGTCGACATTGGGTCCTTATGTCAAAACTGCCAATGATGTTTTTTGTTGCGTCGGTAAAATGACGATGCCGATCTCATCGCTACCATCACCGTCACAATGTCCATTCCGAAAATTTAGCTGTAATTAGTCCTCCTGAACAGATAATCATATTTGCATTGCCCTTCATTTTAAGTATTCCATCAAAGTGGTGTTTACACTAACGTTATGGCACTACTCAGTTGGTCCCATCCTTATTGTACATCTTGTAGTTTGATTAAAGGAAACAAGCACCAGCATTACAGGAAATCGTGTACATTGAATAAAGAATAGGTTAAAAGCCGGTATTGATCGTTGCCCGTCGAGTTTAATTTGGAAAACAGCATGAGACATAAAAGCAGATCCTGTCATTGAAATTTCGGGATTGAAAGACACATATGGAATATGCTGTCCATTGAATAATCTGCCATTATCGGTGGATCTTTTCAATCGACAAATATGTACAACGTTATATTGTTACAAGGACTTACCATGCCAAGCTGTTACACTGGCCTTATGTTTTCATGCTGTTAAACAGGCTGTATGATGTCATGCTGATACACAGGCCTTTTATCTCATAATATTACACAGGCCTTAAATTGTTATGCTACTAAACAGGACTTACAATGTGATGCTGTTACACAGGTCTTACAATGTCATGTTGCTATAAGGTCTTACAATGTCATGTTGCTACACAGGTCTTACATTATCATGTTGCTATACAGGTCTTACAAAGTCATGTTGCTATACAGGTCTTACAATGTCATGTTGCTATACAGGTCTTACAATGTCATGTTGCTATACAGGCCTTACATTGTGATGCTGTTACACAGGTCTTACAATGTCATGTTGCTATACAGGTCTTACAATGTCATGTTGCTATACAGGCCTTATGTGATGCTGTTACACAGGTCTTACAATGTCATGTTGCTATACAGGTCTTACAATGTTATGTTGCTATACTGGTCTTACAATGTCATGTTGCTATACAGGTCTTACAATGTCATGTTGCTATACAGGTCTTACAATGTCATGTTGCTCTACAGGTCTTACAATGTCATGTTGCTATACAGGCCTTACATTGTGATGCTGTTACACAGGTCTTACAATGTCATGTTGCTATACAGGTCTTACAATGTCATGTTGCTATACAGGCCTTATAATGTGATGCTGTTACACAGGTCTTACAATGTCATGTTGCTATACAGGTCTTACAATGTTATGTTGCTATACTGGTCTTACAATGTCATGTTGCTATACAGGTCTTACAATGTCATGTTGCTATACAGGTCTTACGTTGTTAGTATTTTGCCATTGAAAAGCTGAGTCATAATATGGAAACAAAGAAACCCTATCAGCCAGCGGTCCAGAAGTCACGGGTGTCCATAACCACTATTGAGAAGATGAAAGTAAAACAATCTTCACACAACAAATTTCAAAAGGTACCTTTGCGTAAAATGATAGGTAGTTATGTTTGTAAACATTGTTAACAATTATATATATATATATATATATATATATATATATATCTATATATATATATATATATATATATATATATATATATATATATATATATATATATGTATGTATGGATTGAAGTGGACACGAGGAGTGAACGATGTTTTCGTTCTTGAAAAGTCTATCCCAAATAGAGATACAATTCTTTTTAAAAACTCAAATTCATTAACATGTTTTCATTGACTACATATAAGGAAACCCTTTTGTAGAGGTTCTTCATCAGTTTTATACCTTGATCATGTTTTCTCGCTCCTACTTATTATGTTGTACTACGAGATTTTGTATGTAAGAATAGGCTAGATTTTGGTAACAGGATTCCAATTAAACAGCTATTTTGGAGAATGAAATTTGCATGTAAAGAAAACTTGATTTGATCTATATTATAGGATGGAAAATGTCATAAAAAAATGACACTGATATATTACAAACATTTATTCTGTTTGCTGCCGAATTTAAAAAAAGGTTTGCTGTCGGTTTTGATACACTACTCTCCATTCCCTTGACATGTTTAGGCGACCCAGTTGATATCCTGAAAGTTGTTGTTGTTGTTGTTGTTGTTGTTGGGCTTAACGCCATTTTCAGCACACGATAGGCTATTCATGGCGGCCAGTATTAATGGTGGAGGAAGAAACCGGGAAATCACCGGAAAGAACCAACGACCCACGAGAAGCTTCTGGCAAGCTTTCTCACATATCCACATTCGCCGAATCCTAGACTCGAACACACGCAGACAGAGGTGAGATGGCAGTGATTCGTAACGGACAGCGATTTAGACCACTCGGCCACTCGGGGCCCCCCGATATCCTGAAAGTCATTGCAAAATTAACATATACGGCATATAGAAAGGACTTGGATGAAGCTAGCATCTTACCTTTATTTTTATGTTCTCGAAAATCGTGATCTCCGATTGTCGAGTTAACGAACACTTTCTATGCTATAACAGTTTCGTACTATGTAGACAATTTTCACTGGTGCGCTGGTGTCAAAATGATAGACACGTAGTATTTGCCATAGACGTCAACATGCTATACTAAGACATCAATGAGAGTAAGTTATACACGTGTCAGATACGAATTACCATTTACATAAGCAACGAACGAGTATATATAGTCATACAGCATGTACATATAATCATACAGTGTGTACATATATCCATAGAGTGTGTACATATAATCACACAGTGCGCTTATACAGTAATATATTAGATATGAATATGCATTTTCATAAACAACATGTTTGTATGTGCAGTCATACAGGATGAATATACATTCATATACTGGCATTTTCATATCCAAGTGTGCCTATAGTCATAGAGTGTGCATACACGGTCATACAGTGTGTATATAGTCATAGAGTGTGCATACACAGTCATACAGTGTGTATATAGTCATAGAGTGTGCATACACGGTCATACAGTGTGTATGTACAGTCGTACAGTGTGTATATAGTCATAGAGTGTGCCTACACGGTCATACAGTGTGAGTATATACAGTCATACAGTGTGTGTATATACAGTTCAACCGCTTCGGTAGCCTAGTGGTTAGAGCGTCCGCCTTGGATGAGGTAGGTCGAGGGTTCGAATCTCGGCCGAGTCATGCCAAGGTTTTACAAATATGGTACTAACAATTGCCTCGCTTGGCGCTCAGCGTTCAGAGTCCTAGTGTTAGGAGTGGTCGGCTTGGTGTCAGGATAAAATGACTGGGTGGGACATAATGCCACGTATCTGCGGCATGTTGCACCAGTGCTGGACATCACTATAAACTGTCACACTGCAGATATCGTAGCGTTATGACTGAAAAATTGTAAAAGTTACTTTATAAAACAAATGTGTATATATAGTTATAAGATGCCCTCAACCCAGTCTGTCAAGCATCTGTATTGAATAGCATTAGAAGAGTTGTGGAACATTACTAGAATGTCGGGACAGGAATGCTTACACAGTCCCCCCGTTTCCATGGAAATGTCGCTGCATAATGACAGGAACAACACATTGTATTAGGACCATAATAGTGCCTTTATACTAACATCTCTCATAATTTCAAGATGTGATAGCTTTGCTATTCGGTTTTGTGAAAGGAATGACAGAGGAATGCATGAAACATCCATTTCAGAGAAAATCAAAGAAAAATGTTTAGCTTATGCATATTGTATTGTTAAGAAGACAATATAAAAGGTAAACATAATGGAAACCTTTACAGATTTTCTCTGCATTATAAATTTATTTGACGAACTAATTAATGAATATTAATGCAAGATAAATGAGAGAAAGGACAAATTAAAGAGCGGAAAGAAAGAAAAGAAGGGAGAGATGATCTTTTAGTTCAAACCGTACCTGTCGATAAAATAGAACAAGAATTGACATGTCTGTGAGTCAATTTGTGTTAGTTTCATGTCTAGATTTTCCTATGTAGCGAACTTTTACTTGCTCGACTTTAAAAAAGTCGTTGTCAAAATGAAAGTGTACCCAATGAATAGTAGTATCCACTACCGATAATCTGTGACAAAGCTAATTGTATCCGAATGACAAGTAGTATCCATTACGCATGATCTATCGTATAGCTAAGTGTAGCAGAATGAATAGCAGTATCCAATGCTAATAACTGGTAATAAAGCTTATTCTTTGCTTTATTAATGTATATGCAATCAAACCGAAAATACAGGTCTCTTTCTCTCTCTCTCTCTCTCTCTCTCTCTCTCTCTCTCTCTCTCTCTCTCTCTCTCTCTCTCTCTCTCTCTCTCTCTCTCTCTCTCTCCCATATTATTGTTCAAATTAACTGCTTGATGCCGTAGCTTCGTCAACATATTTTCTTCAAGCAATTATAACTTGAATAATCCAACTATAAGATTGATCAAACACTTGATTGTCAACCTATCAATCATTTACTTCCTTTTAACTAACTATTCAGTACTGTTAGATATATTTTTATATCTCGTGGTACATGATTTTATTTAATTTTTGAAATTTTCATTCATGGTTGTAAATTGTACAGAATATCTTTATTTAGATTGTGCCTACGTGGTCCGAGTCTGTTAAGAGCATAAAATTATTCAGGATCTAAAAATAGATCCTCTGACAATTATTAATAATAGTCCTTATAATAAGACTTAATGGAGCCTTGGACTTTTGTCATGGACTGATATGGTTTCGACTTTTGAAAAATCAAATGATTTAACTGCCCATTCTAAAGCTGGGTCACCTGAATAGGCGGCAAGGTCAAGGCCTAACGAGGAGCCAAATCAGTCCCATGGCTTGAATTATGAAAATCAGTCGTACTAGAAGGTGTACATAAGGAAACCATCGAGCAATGAGATTCATTCCGATTTTGGGGTCATCATTATTTCTTGTGTTCCTGTTTTAATTTGTATACGTATTTTATAGTTAGAAAAAAACAGTTTGGACTTTCAGTAGAAACATAGAGTTCTCGTTATTTGGACTACAAAATATTATTCTGGAACTGTTGTGAAGTATTCAAAGTAGTTCTGGACAACGCCATCTTGGCAGAGTACTGGCGGACCAGCATATTCTGGTTTTGAAATTTATAGAGAATGTTTCATTCATTTAGGACTAATGTGGAACAACCACCGGTCGGCTCATATTGACTGAGGTTTTGAAATCTCCATCTCATCGTCGCAAAGTTCACCGACAAACACTAAGCATGTAGATATGTTTATCGCACATGATATACACCCATTATCAGCTCCATACACTGTAATCTAGCTACGCCATTCCATGAAGAAATGTATCCCAGTCCTATACCACTACAAAAAAGAAGTGCACAGCATCATATTAGAGGCAGAAACCGTAACCATTACTACAGACGATTGGAGTTGATAGGCTGTTGAGAATTACATAATTTTGGATTACATTTAATTGACAAAAATTGGTGCCCTAAAGGCTTTGTTCTATAGACAAGGCTTCTGCATAAGTATTATAAAGGTCAACATATAGGAGCAGTACTAGTTTATGCTAGTAAGGAATGGCAACTGGAAAGACCCCACAAGTTCCTTCCTACAGTAATTCTGCTAACATGGACGTTGCGTTCAAGAGATAAAATTCACACTACATATCAAGTACTTTGCACATACTATAAATCTAGCAATACAGAGAGGAATGCAGTTTCACCAGATGTCAGGCTTTTTTGGAAGGATCAGGCGCATTGCTTTTGCTTTCAAAAAGCGCCAATCGCTAGTCAAAACCAACCTAGTCAATCTGGACCCTGTGGCGATAAAAGATGCAAAACCTGTCAACATATGATAGAGACCAAGACATTCACTAGCACAGTGACTAAAGAAAAACTAAACATACATGGTCCAAACAAAACGTGCAAAACAGAGAATGTGATTTATCTCATCACATGTAAGATCTGTGGCCTTCAGTACGTCGGAGAAACTGAAAAGCTACACAAAAGGATAAACCTTCATAGATCTGATTGGATGATAAAAAAAAGCTGTACAGAAGCCCGGTCGCAGAACAGGTCTCCTCCCCATGCCACACTTTCAGTGATATAATACTTATCGCTATTGCTAACAACCACAGCTGGAGTTCCGAAACCAGGAAGGAAAAGGAATCATACTGGATACGCCGCCTTAGAACATTGAAACCAAGCGGTCTAAACCAAGAAGACTAGAAAATGAAAACTATGCACTAGTAAAATTTAACATTTTCTAAATCTTCTTATTATCCTTCAATTTTTGCTATAAGAATAACCGGTATAGAATCAAATATCCGGGATATAATCTGCGTTACATATGTACAAAAAGTAAAAATAGATGTCGCTTTGGCTTGTAGACTTTTAGGGAATTATGCAACGTTTTCAGTTTCCGCGTCTAGTCTATACAAGCTGGTTGTATTTATAGTTTTAACACATGTGAAGACAGCCATGTAGAGGTTTACAAACACAACGTTTTGTGTTTATTTGTTTATCGGATATATGTTTTGTATTTGCCTTTGAAAAAGACTCATTAAGAGTCGAAAGCGCTTAGGCTAGTTAGTTACTAGTTTCGTACTGTTCGTCGTCAGTTTATTGCATCTATATATATATATATATATATATATATATATATATATATATATATATATATATATATATATATATATATATATACGACCAGAAAGTAATGGATTATATAACGCAGAAACGCAGATAACCAGCACATCTACAAATATATCTAACTTTGTCATCATTCCCCAGTGAACATCAGGAATTATGATTGGTCGGGAACGATGACAGCAATTAGTGTAGGCTTTACAATAAAGTAAAAAAAAATATTTATCATGATGTAAATTACGATCTTCCTCTGTTATATAACAATTTTGAGAAAGTAATATATTTCCGATCATCACCTATTTTCGGATAATGCAACTGGTAAACGTTAAATCAAGCGATGCATGTTATGAATTAAAATATATTTAAAAATATTGGAATGATTTTTTTTCTCTCTTAAATGGAAATGCAAAATAATTGTAATAATAAAATTGATACACAGCTGTTGTAAGGTGATAAAAACTACACATATCGGATTGATCTCATTGGCCGACGAAAAATGAACATTTTATTTTCTTTCACTAGACTAAGATCGATGATCGCGCTAGCTCTCTGGTAACAAAACGCCTCTGTCCGGTAACAAATCACCCCTGTCCGGTAATGAATTCCCCAAAGATATTTGCTGTTTCAATACTAATTAGAGTTGGATTTTATAGTCGTAATACGATCTGCATTGTACATCCTGGTCACTATATACTTGCTCTATCAGAAAATGGTAAGCTGTAGCGTTTATTTTTGAGCTTTTCTATAATCGGATTACTTCTAGATTATTTTCCGTTCAAAACGAAAATTAGGAAAACATTTTGTGTCTGAGGGTCCTATGCAAGATTTATGAAATTTTGTATGGAATCTACCTGAAGCTGATAAAGGATAATGTATTGCAATATGTTTTTGACAGTTGGATAATAGACTTTTGTTCGAATATGAGCTTTTTCACCTTTGTCTAACTTTGATATTGACAAATGCACTTAGACAATTGAGGACACGTAATTTTAGAGATGTCAGATTATTTTTTATCACTAATAAGCTAAGATTTAAAGGAAAAAAAATGTAATCTAAATTGAGCTTTTTCACGGAGGATAAGACCATGACCATATTTACTAATTAGTAATAGCATATTAGGAGTCATATCAAGTGAAAATATAGTTAAATGATCTCCATTAAGGATTAAATAAAGGAATTGAGACTCGGCTTCTTCCTAAAAAAAAACAAAACAACAAATATTGTATTATTATGCAGACAGGTTTTATGTTGACCAGTAATTATAGGTTACTGCATTTGTATGGGAAAATATGAACGAGTTTTTCGGATGGCTATACTGCACAACCTTCGTGCTCACGTGCAAGAGGAGTGCAATATGAATGTGTGCATTATCGGGGAATATTGAACAGCAGTAGGGGTTGTACCAAAAGCCAAAATCCTCCAAACAAATACTTTTATCAGTATTTCTGCCTCTCCGCCCGTCCCCCCCCCTCCAATACCCACGGGTAGCCGGAGTAAAGGTCAAAATTGCTGCACATAGAATAGTGGTGTTAATTTTAACAATAAAC